GGTAGTATGTGACCATCGCTGGTCAGGCAGTTTCCTGCAGATCCCAAATTTGTTTTAATCCCACAAATCATGCTAATCACCCCATTAATGTTTTTGAACGTTGGAGTTTTTTTTCTACTATAAAATGGGGTGCTTGGGGTCTGTTTTCATCATCAACTCTCTTCACAATCCATTGTTTACAGTGCATTCAAATTCTTCTCATTCTTTAGCTTCTTTGAGAGCCAATTTGTGAAGTCATTGAGTTGTTCTTGAGCGTATAAAGTTTACTCATATTCACTCTATAAGAGAGTCCTGTTCTTGAGTATTTCTTAGTGTTCTTAGACACTTGGAGAGAAGAGTCTTCTCTCATTGTTCAAAGGAAGGGCTGTTTCCTTTGAGGATAGCGTTGAGGTTCGTGTGACTCAAACTCTCAAGTTGTAAGGTTTCGTTGAGCACCGTTAAGCTTAACAAGGTAGTAGCGTAGCTCGAGAGAGTCTCTCGGGAGACTGGATTAGCCACACGTTGTGGTGAACCAGTATAAATCTTGGTGTGCCTTCTTCTCTCTTTTATTTCCGCTTTATATTCCTTTAAAATTTTAATTCCTGCGATTTTATTGATCAAACGCTATTCACCCCCCCTCTAGCGTTGGTCCTTTATTCTAACAGCTTTGACGAAGTTCAAGAGACCGGGACTTAGTGGATTCGGAAATGCTTAAGGAGGAGCCTTAAGGTACTGGAGTAGGGGTTTCCCGAATCAGTATAAAATCGGTGTGTCTTTTACTTTACGCTTTTATTCCTGCGTTTTATTTATTGCTTCCGCATTTGCTAACATGCACCTCATGAACGTAGCTGGGGCATTGCAGAGACCAAACCACATTTTCCGGTAGACGAGTATTTGAAAATACCCACTCATCCCGTCGAGAAAACAATAATACCCATGCCCAGCTAAGTTCTGCACTAACTGGTCTAAAAAGGGAAGAGGGAAATGATCTTTTCTGGTGGCATCATTTAATTTTCGATAGTCAACCACCATACGCCACCCGGTCACCACCCTGTTAGGGATTAGCTCTCCCTTATCATTAGCAGTGACAGTCATCCCTCCCTTTTTAGGTACCACATGAATTGGACTTACCCACTCACTATCAGAAATAGCATAGATGATACCTGCATCCAAAAGCTTCATTATTTCCTTTTTCACGACCTTTCTAAGATTAGGGTTCAACCTTTGTGGATGTTGGGCCATCGGTCTACTTCCTTCCTCAATGAATATATTGTGGGTGCAGAAAGTTGGGCTGATACCCAAGATCCTCAAGCTTCCGAGCAATAACGTGCCTGTAAAGCTTAAGCAACTGTATCAACTTACCTTTCTGCTCCTTGCTCAAGTCTGAAGCTATAATGACTGGACATTTTTCTTCTTCATCTAAAAATGCATACTCCAAGTGAGAAGGTAAGGCTTTAAGTTCAGGAGTAGGCTCAGGTTCATTCTCTTCTTCATCCTCATCCTCTTCAGCCTGAACCCCCATTACCTTTTCTGCATTCTCTTCTTCCTGCTGAACTTGGTCACAAAACTCCATCAACTCAACATACTTCTCTTCTGCTGAATTGACCATGCTGATAATACCTTCGTTTTGTGGGTCATTTTCAGCAGAAGAGGTACCAAATCAATAATCATCCAAAATATCAATAACATTCAAAAAGTTACAAGATTTGGAAAACATAAGGTCTTGGTTCGCTATCTCAAGAAGCCGGAAGGTACAAACATCATCACCGACTCTCAGAGTTAGTGAACCATCAGTCACATCAATCAAGGCCCTACCAGTAGCTAAGAAGGGTCGTCCTAAAATAAGAGGAGTTCCCTTGTCTTCCATCTCCAAAACAACAAAGTCAACAGGGAAAATAAACTTACCTACTTGAACTAACACATCCTCAACAATGCCTAAAGGATAGGTGACAGAACTATCAGCAAGTTGTATACACATTCTAGTAGGTAATAAATCCTTAATTCCTAGCTTTTGAGCTACATAAGAGGGCATCAAATTAATACTTGCTCCTAAGTCAGCTAAGGCATTATTAAAGGCAACATTATCTACTGAGCAAGGAATGGTAAAACTACCTGGGTCTTTTTGTTTCTTTGGCAAGTTCTTGGTTAGAACTGCCGAACATTCAGCACTTAAGTTTGCTACCACAGGATCATTACGAGGCTTTTTACTATCTAATAACTCCTTAAAGAATTTGGCATACTTTGGCATCTCAGCCAAGGCATCCATTAGGGGTAGATTAATGTGAAGTTGTTTTAGCATATCTAAAAACTTAGCATATGTTAGGTGATCATATACCTTCTTTATTCTAGAAGGGAATGGAAGCTTAGGTCTAGAAATGGGTAAATCACCTAAATTAGCAAGTTCAGCCTCGTCCTTTTTATTACTGATTGATATCGGGTCTGGTAGACCCGACTCCAGGCCCAAATAAAGGCCTATAATAACCCAAGAGGTATAAAGTCAGATGGAGATAACGGGCTGAGCCCATAATTGCGCATACGGCAGATCGAGAGAGACGGCCCAGTTATGGAATAAATTAAGGTGACCCAGTCCAAGAAAGGAGTGGGACACGTGGCCCACGTCATTGGGTCATAAACGGAGTGGGAAGAGAACGAGACCGGAAAAGAGGGAATCACAACCCCACGATCTCTATAATCCTTTCCATTTTGTATAATTTTAATTATATTATTAGAGATATATAAAAAGGGGGAGAACCCGCCATTGTAAAGGAGGAGACAATTCAATACTCAATAAAAGAATATTATCGAGTGGTTATATCTTCCTGATTCTTATTACGTTCTTGGTCCGCCATCTGATCGGGTTAATCCCATCATTGGTGCTTTCATTGAGAGCAATACTGTGAGATAAGGCTGTGAGATTATGGCCGGACGAAGGACGAGACGTAACACTGCTGCTTCCGCCCAGTCGACGGTGAGGAGTGACAACCCTGAGCAGGGTATGATCGTTCCTGTCAATGGGTTGGAAACGGCATTGAATAATGTGGCTAACATGATGGCCAACATTATGGAACGATTGGATAAGGCTCTTCCAGGTCCATCCGGTATCCGGGACGTCCCTCCCGGGCAACCCCGTCAGGTACTGCGTACCGCGAGTTCTCCTATCCACAGGAGCTTCATGATCCGGAAGAGGTTGAGAGGGAGAAACGAGCCATTGCCAGACGCCGGGCGGAGGAATTGGCCCGGAATAGTAAAGTGAATGAGGACTGGGCCAAGGATGCAAGCCGGATCGTCGGCGATGGAAACGAAAACCCGCGGGGATCCGTCTTTGAAAGGATATCTCGCCAGAAGGCTCACGTTAGTGAGAGGCTGGGGAAGAATCCGGATAAGGCACCCCAGGGTTGGATACGACCTCAGGCCAGCCAGGTGGCATCTTCCAATCGCGAACCCCGGCAGCAAAACGGCCGTGGCGCGAGCCAAGTGCTGGTCCGGTCATTCAGGAATCTGGAGGAGGACGAGGTTCAAAGCCAAGCCAGGGTCCCAGCACCACGGCGTCTGGGGCCGCCGGTGCCGGAAGCTGGTGAATTCCAAGATCTGAGGCAGCAGATTCAGGAGATGCAGAGGAAGATAAACAAGGGTCGAGTATTCACTACCCGTACGAATACTCCCTTAGCCCCGGAGATCTTTGCGGAACCATATCCGTAGGGATTCAAAATGCCGTTTGTTAAGCGTTATGATGGGGAGTCAGACCCCAGGAACACATAAACAGTTATGTCCAAGTGATGATTGCCGTAGACGCTAGTGACGCACTCATGTGCCGGTGCTTCTTGCAGACAGTTGACAGCAAGGTCGCGGATTGGGTCAACCATATCCCTGCCGGATCGATCCGGACATGGGATGAATTGGGACTACGGTTCCTAGAGCATTTCGCCGGGAACTGCCGTCCCAAAAAGCATAAGCATTTCACTCACTTGGCTTCGGTGCGACAGAAGCATGGAGAATCCTTGAAGAATTTCCTTATCCGATGGAGGAAAGAGTCCAGGGAGGTTGAAGGAACCGATGATAAATCCAGGTTGGCTATGTTCACAGCGGCATTACAGGATGGACTCCTTCACATCGATCTTACTACTCATCCCCCGGATACCTTTGAAGAAGCAATGGTCCGGGCGGGGAGGTATGTGACCCTGGAAGAAAGGAAGGAGGAAAAGAAAGAGAAGACTCCTAAAGAAGAAGAGAAGACGGGAAATAAGAAGCCGTTTAAAAATAAGAAGCAGGGCTTCCCGGATGGCCCAAAGGGCACAAGTCCTGGAACCTCGGAGAAGCACAAATCTGCCAATCCAGTCTTCACATTGCCGGTGGCTGAGGTCATGGCCCACGCTGCACAGCAGGGACTCATGACTTATCCAACTTATTCTCAAAATGGTGCACTTACCATCGCAAGAATGATCACAACACGGAAGATTGCTATACTCTGAAGAATGAGATGGCAAGGCTAATCCGCCGGGGTCATCTAAAGAAATTCGTGCAAGATGGTGATGCGGGAAATCCCGGGAATGCTCAGAATGGAAAGCGCAGAGATAAAGAAGTGGCCCAGGCCGAGGCCTGGGAGAAACGCCACATTGGGCTCGAAGACGAAGAGGAGGATTCGGAACCCGCACTGCATCGCCAGAAGAGACACCACGGGTGTAACTTCATCATTGGAGGGAATACTGGCGGAGACTCAGCCACAAGCCGGAAGAAGTGGGCTAACGCGGCGATGGTCAACAAGGTGCTGGTCCCAGAAGGTAAGAAGCTGAAAACCGATCCAATTGTATTTTCTAATGCCGATCTCCCAGAAACAGGGGTCCCCCATAGGGATGCCCTAGTGATTACTATTGATATAATGGACTTATTGATCCACAAAACCCTTGTGGATACGGGAAGCTCCATTAATATCATGTATATGGATACGTACAAGGCTCTTGGTTTGACAAGGGATGAATTATCACCCATCAAGACTCCACTGACCGGGTTCACCGGTGACTCTATTGAACCGGAGGGGGTGATAACCCTCCCGGTTGAGATAGGGGATACTAAGGCTACCCGGAAGTTGGACATGGAGTTTGTTGTGGTGGGGATAATCTCCAACACAAACATTATCCTGGGCAGACCCGGATTGGAAGATTTGGAGTGTGTCATCTCGCCTCGTCACCTGTGCATAAATTTCCCAACCCCCCACGGAGTTGGAATTGCCAGGGGATCTCAGAGAGTGTCCCGGGCATGGTATTTGAAGGCAACCAAACAGCCGGTCAAGTACGATACCCAAGTGGGAGAGGTGACTGCGCAGCTCCTGAGGGCTGAGGAAAAACGTCCCAGAGTAGAAGTTGCTGGCGACATTGAAGAAGTGGAACTGGAGCCAGGCACGCCGGGAAGGTTGGTCAGGATTGGCAAGGGCCTGGGGGCTGAACTCAGATCACAAGTGATTTCAGTCCTTAGAAGGTTCAGGAGGGTCTTTGCATGGAGTCCAGCTGATATGCCAGGGCTGGATCACAAGATTGTAGTTCATCGCCTAAATGTCCTGCGGGATGCTAAACCAGTGAAGCAGAAACGGAGGCATTTGTCGCAGGAAAGAAGAGATTTCGTGAAGAAGGAGGTAGCAACCTTGCAGAGCATCGGGCACATCCGAGAGGTGCAGTACCCGGATTGGTTGGCAAATGTAGTACTGGCGCCTAAGCCCCCTTCGTGGAGGATGTGCGTCGACTACACAGATTTGAACAAGGCATGTCCCATGGATCCGTTTCCTCTCCCCAACATTGATAAGATAGTGGATGAGACTGCCGGGTCAGAGTTAATGAGCTTCATGGACGCTTTCAGTGGCTACCATCAGATTCGGATGCATCCGGCCGATGCTGAAAAGACAAGTTTTATGACCCCAGAAGGGGGGCTGTACTGTTACTTGGTGATGGCCTTTGGCCTGAGAAATTCCGGGGCGACATATACCCGGATGGTTTCTCAGGTGTTCAAGGCTGTCTTAGGGCGGACCATGGAAGCATATGTTGATGATATGATTGTCAAGTCCAAAGAGGCCCGAGACCATGTCCGGGACCTTGAGGAGGTCTTTGAAATCATGATCAAAGTGAGTCTGAGATTGAACCCGAAGAAATGTACTTTTGCTGTTCAGGGTGGGAAATTCCTTGGGCACATGGTTAGCCGGAAAGGAATTGAGGCAAACCCGGAGAAAGTAAGAGCCATTATGGAGATGGAACCCCCGAAGACAGCAAAGGAAGTTCAGTGGCTGACAGGGAGATTGGCGGCCTTGAATCGTTTCCTTTCGAAGCTGGCAGAGAAGGCGCACCCATTCTTTGCGGTGATCAAGAAGAGAGCGGCCTTCGAATGGACACAGGAATGCCAAGAAGCATTCGAAGAACTAAAAAGATATCTCTCAAGCCCACCGGTTTTGTCTAAGCCGGAACCTGGAGATGTTTTGACTCTATACTTGGCAATTGCAGATTGTGCTATAAGTACTGTGATCGTAAGGGAAGAGCACGGGGCCCAACATCCGGTCTACTACATCAGCAAGACCCTGAGAGATGCGGAGTTAAGGTATTCCCGTCCGGAAAAAGCCATGTTGGCGGTCTTCTGGACAGCGAAGAGATTAACTCTGTACTTTCAGGCTCACCGGATTATTGTGCTCAAGAAAGAGCCTTTGGCGTCACTTACCCGAAGCCCCGCGGCATCTGCCCGGATGACCAAGTGGGCAGTCTTCATTAGTCAGTATAACGTGGAGTTCAGGCCGCGCCCATCCATCAAGGGGCAAGCACTCACCGACTTTCAAGTTGAGTGCACCGCCAGAGAAATGACAAGAGCCCAGGTTGAAACCCGGGTGGAAAAGGACTGGTGGGTAATGAGCATTGATGGATCTTCGGGATCTCGATCTTGCGGAGCAGGGATCGTCTTGATCACCCCAGAAAAATTCCGGATTTATTACGCTATCAGATTTCAGTTCCGCGTATCCAACAATGAAGCTGAATATGAGGCCTTGATCAACGGATTGAAGATTCTTAGTAAGATGGGAGTATCCAGGGTTCGGGTTTACAGCGACTCCCGATTAGTGGTGGGACAAATCACAGGGGAGTTTGAAGCAAAGGAAGAAAGGATGAAGAGGTATCGGGACTTGTCTTTAGAGATTTTGGGGAGGTTTGAGTTTAAGCTTGAACATATACCCCGGGCCCAGAACGCAGAGGCCGATGTTCTATCCAAGCTCAGCGCAGAGTCACCGGAATACATAAGCAAATTAGCAACCGTCGAGGAACTGGTAACCCCGAGTCTTAACAGCAATGAGGTGATCTGGGTATCAGCAGATCCTCCGGAATGGCTGGACCGGTTGGCCAAATACATTGAGGACGGTGAAGCCCCGGAAAATCCCGAAGAAGCACGTCTGTTGCGAATGAGGGCACCTACCTACCAGGTACAGGATGGAGTCCTCTATAAGCGATCTTACAACGGTGTTTTACTCCGTTGCCTCAGGGCAGCAGAGGCAAAGGCACTAATGGAAGAAATACATGAAGGAGTATGTGCTGCACATCAAGGTCCTTACTCCATCTCCAGAAGGGCTATTATCCAAGGATACTTCTAGCCAACGATGAGGAAGGATTGCGAAGAGTATGTACGCAAGTGCCCGACCTGCCAACAATTCCAGAATATACCCGGGAGGCCGGCCACGAATTACACGCCTATCAGTTCTGTGATTCCCTTCTCAAGATGGGGGATTGATATTGTGGGAGCTCTGCCGAAAGGAGCTGGGCAGGCAAGGTGGATTGTGGTGGAGATAGACTATTTCACAAAGTGGGTGGAAGCTGAGCCACTTGCCGGGATTACCGGAAGGCAGATGATCGACTTCGTCGGAACGAATATACTCTGCAGGTTTGGGGTCCCGAGGCAGATCATATCTGACAATGGAACCCAGTTTGAGGAAGCAGAGTTTCAAGACTTCCTCAAAACTTGGGGAATTCAGCACACAAAGGTGTCTGTTGCGTACCCTCAGGCTAATGGACAAGTGGGGAATGCCAACGAGGAAGAATCAGAAGAAGAATCGGAAATAGTGAGATCAATAAAGACAACTCTGTTGGCGTTATTAGCCATGTTGAGAAATTGATTGTGATGATGAAGGGGATCAGCCTAGTCCCTTAAATAGGCGAGTAATCCCAGAGGAGAAAGTGCAAGGGACGCGGAGTCAAAGTGCTTATCCGATTGGGAAGCAGTTGCGAATTCCCGAGGAGAGCTAGGGTTGCGTCGTCTTATTATTGGGCTAGGGTGAATTGGGCCCGGCGTAATTAAGGTGGGCTAGTCACGTAGCGCAATGGTAAATAAGAAGAACAGAATTTTGCGAATGTAGTTAAGCCCAAAGCCTAGGCGGATAAAAAAATCTGCTAAGTCCTAGGGCGAAACAAGAGTTCCTAAAGGGAAATAGTCGGATTAATAGAAGGAGTCTGTGCGGACAAAATACATCAAGTGTTATCAATTAACTACCATCTAAATGTTACAAAGCAAAATACAACATGCGACAGAGAAGAATAAAGTCAAGGCCCCGGATCTGCACAAGAAGCTGGGGGAGAAAGAGGAAGAGGTAACCCATAGTAAGAGATGAAGTCGTCCAAGGATCGGTTTTCCGGAAGACCACTCTGAACTGCCTCGTAGATGCATTGTTGCATGTCAAACTTCCCTTCTTCATAAAGGGCTTCAGCGCGGGCAGTCAGAGTGGCAACCTCCTCTTGATGGGCAGCAGTTGTCTTCTCCAGTTCATCCATCCTTAACCGGAGCTCGCTTGCAGTCTGTCTCTCTTCCTTTAGTTTCTCAAGGATAAGCCGTCTCGCTTCCATCTGTTTCAGTGCGAATTCATTGAAACGGGAACTCTCATGCTTGGCCTCTTGGAGGGAATTCTCCAGCTCAGAGATCCGGGACTCTTTTTCAACCAATCCAGCTTCTAGATTTCCCACCTTGTCTTTTGAAGCGGAGGCCCTTGATTCCAGTGTGGAGATTTGTGCCCGGAGTCTGTCAAATTGCGCTTCCAGATCCTGAGTCCCCCTTTGGTAAGCAGCGATCTGCTCCTGCAGGGACTTGACCTTGGACTTCTCAGCTGTTAGCTCCATTGAGCCATCTGCCTTGAGCCGGGCATTCTCTTCCTGTAGGACCTAGACTTGTTGTTCCAGGGAGTCAACCTTCTGTTGTAAAGCCCTGGCAGCCAACTCCTTCTCCTTCAGGAGCACTACAGCCCGGTAGTCCCCTGATGCTCCACCCAGGTACTCCTCAGTCAAAGTGAGGAGTGATTGCTGGGCCTAAAAGAAGGAAAGGGAATTTAAAGAAAAGAACTAACCTAAAAGGAGATAAAGAAATTTTTGAAAAAGAAACAGTACCTGCTCCATGAAGTGCAGAGCGTTGAGGGAAAGCAAGTCGGGGCGAGCCTGGGGAATCGCAGGCTCCTGCACTGATTCCCTCATCTTCTCCAAGTTTGTCTGGATAGTCCAATGGGAAGCCTGTAAGGACCTCAAACCATGGGAGAAGCTTGCCCAACCCTCTGTAAAAACAGGATAAGTTTGCGGCGTGAACTTGCGCCAGATGGGGAGACTGACGGCCGAAGGTGCGGTGGCGGGACGTCGTTCCTCCGGGTCCCGCTGCTCCTCCTGATTCTGCTGCGTCTCAGTCTCTCTCCTCACCTCTGGAGGAACCTCGGCGTCGTTTTGCTCTGCACCTTCCTTCTCCGCCGTGGAAGGGGCGTCCGGCACTTTCTGAATTTCAATCTCCACCTCTGCTGCAGAAGAAGACTCTGGTTCTTCCTGCTCCTCAACTTCTATCTCCAGCTCTTGGGGGCAGATGCAGTTTGAGGGAGGGAATTGTTTGCATCGGGCTGAGGCTGCACCGCTGGTTTTTTGAGTGGTGCTTGGTCTGAAAGTTCATCTGCCTCATGATCCAGGCTCTCCGGATGGGGTAGCTCTAAACCTCCGGGTGCAGCAGTAGAGGTGGTATTCTGAGTACCAGAAAAAGTTGACAGGGGGCTGGGTGAAACAGAAGTACCATCACCCCTATGCTTCTTGGGAAGGAAATCATCGTCAGTAACTCCTTCCCTAGGTCGTTTCTGGGATGGGATGGGCCTCCTGAGCCCAGGAATGGCAGAGATAGGAACGGCCTCCAGTGCAGCAACCGGCTTGCAAATAGCCAAGGCAGTGGAATCGCCCTGGGGTTGATTCCCGGTAGAGCTCATAGCCGGGTTGGACTCTGCAGCAGAAGGAGCCTTCGATCCCTCAGGAGAAGGCACACCTTCAAATGGAAACGGGTCAGGACCCAGGGGGTAGTAAAAACCCGCCTTCTTGTACAGTTGGGCGTCTTGAAGGGAGTGGTGTGAAATTAGACCTTCTAAAAAATATTAAAACTTATTAAGATAAATGCAAATAACATTTAATGTGAGGGTAAAAAAGTGTAAAGAAATGAACTTATCAAGAGTTCAGAGAGTTGAGAGAAGTTGTCAAGAGAGCTTCCCGTCACCGGAGCAAGCCATGGTGTTCGGAGGAAGTTTCGCCATTTTTCCGCCGGAATCATCGTTTCACTTCAAGGTAAGCCCGTAGATATATCTAGTTACTAGAATGTTCGTATATGTCATTTCTACGTTCATAAATGGTCGTTTGGTTGAGTTTTGTGTTTGATTTATTTGAAGAACCAAGAATCAAAAACCTTGAATTTGTTGTTAAAACTTTGAATTAATGCCTCTAAAATGATCTACGAACCTTGGAGAACATTTATATATAGTTTCATTAAAGTTTTGTGACCAAAAATGGAATTTGAGAAAAATGGGTTGAAGGTTGAAGATGCTGTTTTTGAGTCCGAAAATGCTGTTTTTGAAGCTATAAAATCCTATTTTTGATACCAATCAATTATGATCAATATAAAAATAATTTCTAAAAATAAAAATGATGTTTGACAAATAAAATTTTATGTAATGTACGACGGTAAGCTAAGGTGTTAACAATCTACATACATCATCATTAAAATCTATAATATTTTTCCCAACAAATATTTAATTTTAAAAGATGCACGAAAAAAACAAAAAAACAAATAAAAAAATAAAAATCAAAGTTTCAAGAGTATGTTTTTCTCACTAAAAGCTCTAAAACCAAATGTTAAGGAACTGGGTAGCATCTAGGAATTTAACATACTTTGGGTCTTGAATACTTATCTTGTCAAATAAGATAATATAATATATATTAAAAAATATTAAATTCAAAAATTTAAAATAAAATAAACAAACAAATAAATAGAATAAAAATGAAGGGATATGAAAACACGAGGGAGGATCGAACCCATGACATGCATGTCAATCGATAAACCTGTGGCCATCCATGTAAAACCAAATATATATTAAGTTTTATTACATGGGCCTTACCCATGCTAATAATTGAAAAAACTTTCAATTATTTAAAAAAGAAAGTCATACTTGTGTAATGTAAACTTCTTTTACGAAACTTAAAATGAACTAAAACAACCAAATATTTTTTTATTAAATACAAATATGAACAATTTATCTACAAATTATTCACCCTTAAAATTTAAGTAACATTTATAAATTATAAATATATATACTATTATTTATCTTTATTTTGTTTTTCTCTCATTTTGATGGCATTCGCTGGTGGGCAGACTGCCGAGTTAAAAACTTGGCCTTTGGTCTGTTGGTGGGTTGTGCGGTGTGTATGAAGTTTGCGATGCGTAATTGTGTGTGAGATATATTTGGTTTTCATGGTTAGGTTTGATCCTTGCTGTAGCAGAGAAAACTTGCCGTGAAAGCCTTTTCAATATGGTGGGCTACGCCTTTGTTTGCAATGGTTTCCTTTGTTTTGTACCCTCTTTGTGGCATCCTTACATTCCTGCTCTTTTCCGTTTGTTTTTCGTCGTTTTCAAAGCAAAATGCCATTAAACAAGTTCATATAGCTTTTGCATCCGGAAATCAAACTGTGGTGGCATGACTTTTGTTTTTCACATGTGGTTTTTGAAGTGTTGGCTTTCTGAGAACCACTGCTTTTACCGTTTTGGCTATTGCTTTTTCGTCCCCCCAAATGATTGTTAGTGTGTTTTGCAAATCATTATGACCTAAGAATGATGTTTGGTTACGGGTTGTGATGAGGAATTGGCTTTGTGTTTGAATTTGGGGCCTGTTTGGTGAGTGTGACTCTACAGCAAAATCGTATCTACTGCTGTAACTTGGGTTTATGTTTTTTAAGCATATATACGGGGGGGGTATGGTCCGTGAAGGTTTTTTCGGTTGGTTTTAAAAGGCATGGTTTTTGCCCTTGCTAGGCCCTGCGTTAGCTCACTCTCTCCCTAGGCGCCTCGTTCGGCTAGTGTCCCACCCACTAGCATCAAGAATGGATGCCAGAGCTAACGCAGTTCGAGTTGGCGGTGGGAATCGATGTTGGGCATCGGTCTGTTGGCCCCGGAAATGCTGGTTGTTGGGATGCCGGCATTTCAAGCGAGGACGATTGGTATGTCCTTGTGGGGCT